AGAAGAAGAAGAAGAAGAAGAAGAAGAAGAAGAAGAAGAAGAAGAAGAAGAAAAAGAAGAAGAAGAAGAAGAAGAAGAAGAAGAAGAAGAAGAAGAAGAAGAAGAAGAAGAAGAAGAAGAAGAAGAAGAAGAAGAAGAAGAAGAAGAAGAAGAAGAAAGAAAGAAAGAAAGAAAGAAAGAAAGAAAGAAAGAAAGAAAGAAAGAAAGAAAGAAAGAAAAAGAAGAAGAAGGCATTCTAATATTGTTGTTCCGTCTAATATTTGGTTGCCTGTGTTATTTCTATTAGACTCACGTTATAAAAGATGTAATTTTAATGTTTAACCATCCATCGACAGAATTTAGGTCTCTCGGAAGGGGGACTACTTCGTCCCTTCCTACCAGAGCCAACCTGAGTTGGGACTGATACAACACCCCAGGAGACAGACAGAAATACTCCATCGGTAGTCTCTGAGCGGGGAGGAGGGGGGGGGGTTCAGTCAGTTCTTTTCTTTTCTTAATAAATTGGAAGGAACATGTAGGAAATTGTGGAGTTCAGCTTGGGAGGGCGCTAGGTTTTACGGAAGTGGGTTTATTTCCCTTGGGCATTGTCTCCCCCTCTGGCAGGTTCCGTCACTTCCGGGTGACTGTTTGTTCATTGACGACTAGAACTAACGAGGAGTTGGAGTCTCGAAATGGCAGCTCATGATTTTGGGGACTGAGGGTTTGGGGGCTGGAAAGGGGGGGGGGGCAAAAAAGGGCGGGGGTGGTTGTGACATTTTTGTGTGATGTTAGTTGTTTTGTTGTTTTTTGGTGCCGGTGATGGTGGTTTTGTTGCTGTTCATTAGGTTGGGTTGGGTTGGGTTTTTTTTGTTTTTTTTCGTTGGGTTTTTTTTGTGGAGGTTTTTGTGTGGGGTCATTTTTTTGGGTGTGATAATTGGTGTCGGGTTTCATTTCAGAGCTACATCTTTGATTCCTTTCTGGGTCTGATTTTCATGTTCTAAAGGGTTTTCTTTTGTTTAGTGTGTGTGTGAGGTTTTTCTCTTGTTTGTTTGTTGGTGTTTTACGGAACTATAGGGTGTAACGGATGATGGGTCGATTGGTGAAAGGTAGTGGATGTGGTTCTGTAACGTGTGAGGGTTTTGGGATTAGGTAGTAGATTTTTTCTCTTCGATTTTTATTTCTTTTTTCATTTATTTATTTATTTATTTATTTATTTATTTATTTATTTATTTATTTATTTATATATTTATATATTTATTTATTCATTTATTTATGTATTTATTTATTTATTAGGGGGGGAATTCTAGAATAAAAACGCAAAGGATGGACGGCATGACGACCTTAATAAGTGACACATTCATGTTATCCCGCACCAACACCCAGCACCCAGTCCCCTTCTTGTTTTAAAATTTCTTCCATACTTCATTTTTATTTTTACATTTCGCCCATGTTTCTTCATATCTTCTATAGCATTGCAGTGCTTCTTCTTAATTTCATCTACATTTCTACTATATGATTCTTCCTATGCGTTTCCTACATTTCCTCCTTATTTTATTCTAGATTTTGTCAATATATATTCTAGATTTCTGATTCCTTCTTCGCTTTTACCATTTTTATTTTTTATTCTTTTTATTTCTTGCGTTATTTCCCTAGCTTGAGAGTTTGTGTAAACTGAATATTTACATCTTTTATGCAACGATTTTCAGTATGATCCTCATAGAAATGTGTTCTTTAATGAGCATGAAAGATGTTTAACCTGCAGAAAAATGCCAGTTTCTTCACTTTCATTATTTTGACGAGCGGTTGATTTCAGCACACTGCCTCACAAATACCTCAGTTGCAAATCGAGGCCAATAGCACACAAATTAATGGCTAGTGTAGACAGACATAGGAAGAGATGGGAGTGGAGAAACAGACAGAGGAAGATTTTTTTTAAATCTTTTTTTTTAGGGGGGGGTCGGAGAGACAGACAAAGTAGAGGTGGGATGGAGAACCAGACACAGAAAGAGATAGGGTGCAGGGAATCAGACAGAAGAAGGGTAGATATAAATATAGATATAGATAAAGATAGAGATTACATAAAGATGCAATAAGAATATAGATTATATAGATATATAATATTTAGATACAGATATATGTATTCCTGTGTATCTCTCTCTCCTTCTCCACCCCCCCCCCTTTTTCTCTCTCTCTCTCTCTTTGTCTTTCGCGATCTCTCTTTCTCTCTCTCTCTCTCTCTCTCTCTCTCTCTCTCTCTCTCTCTCTCTCTCTCTCTCTCTCCCTCTCCTCTCACTCTCTCTCTTTTTTATCTGTCCGTTCTTCACTTTCACAATCTCTTTTTCTCTCTCCTGTATCCACTTGATTGGTCACTTTACGATAATATAACGAAGACAAGACTTGGCACACGCAGACAAAAGATAAGCTCATGTTCGAAAAGGTTAAAGGGGGGGGGGGGGGGGTGCTACACCACCAAAGTCAAGATTCGGCTCAAAATTATGGAATTTGAGTTGTAGGCATTTTTAGCTTCCTCAGCCTCTCCTACAACTATTTCATTGCATATGAACCCCACAAAACGTATTTTTTCCCATACCGGGCATGTTTGTCCCCGCCATTTCCTCATAAAGTCAATATTTTATTTTTCTTTATCGGTCGTTTTCTCAAAACGCGACTTTTCTCTATACTTTTTTTAATAACTCCACCATTTTCATCCAATCTTCATGAAATTTTCACAGAATGAAGAGAAAATGTAATACTAAAAATTTTTCTGTTGAATTTTTTATATATGGAATGCATTTTTGTTGGTGGTGTATGGAGTGTGGATTTTCACGGATTTTTTGCAAACTTGAATGCTACCTCAGGAAAAAAATTCATTAAATATTTTCTAATTCGTTTAAGAAAAAAACAACAGACAGATTTTTAGATCTAATGTTTGTGAACACGCATGCAAAAAAAAACCCCAATCAATTTCTATAAGCGATAAGAGCGGTATTCATTACGTAAGACGTGTAAACAAAATCCAATATGGCCGCCGTATCCATGGAAACGAAACTTTTTTCTCAAATTTGATTGCGAATTTTATTACTCTTTATTATGCTTGTTATATGTGCAAAATTTGGTAAAATTCGATCCAGTAATAAGCGAGATAGCTTTCAGGTGTAGCCCCGCCCGCTTAAGGATGGACAACTATACTCACCAGCTGCTGAAGCAATAACAGTTTGCCAATCAGTCACTCGTACAAATCCAGGCAGGCTCATAGACTTGGACAAATCAATGGAAACGTCAAAGAGTTCTTCCACACAGAACTATAGAATATTTTCTTTCTAAACTCGCTTGCAAATTTTGTTCTATTCGATAACAGCAGCAGCTCATGTGGGGGCCTACTATACCGAGTGAACTGAGTGTGGGGGGTTCTGATGGTGTGATGAGGTGTGATTATTTTGAGCCACTCTCAAATTCTACGAATGAATGGCGAACAGTAAGCTAGCTCCTGTTGACGTCTTTTGGAGTGAAAAGTGTGAGTTGCTCTCATCCCCTGCTGCGAAATAAAAACCAGGAAGAACAGGTCACGATTTCTTCGCACTAGAAACAGATCGGAAGTCAACGGTTAGGGAGGGCATCGTTTTCGGTTGTTAAATTGCTCTTTATTGGATTTTTTGTGGGTATTTGTTTGTTTTTGATATTATGGTTTTTGTTTGTTGGTTTGTTTGTTTGTCTGTTTGTTTTTTCTATTCTTTTTCCGTGACCTGATTGTCAAATGATGACGTCAGATTTCCTCTTGGTATAGCCAGTTCCAAGGATTTTTTTCTCTGCAACGAGAGGAGAAACATAAAACAATAAGATGATGGATATAGTATGATAATGTATGGCAGAAGTCCCAAACTATAGTGTGTAAAAAAATCCGTGGCGCTACGTATCCTCAAATATTTCGGCAACGAATGAATCAGTGCCACCCATACTTTGTACAGCAGTTTGTATCGATTTATCTTACCTTAATTATATTTTCCCACACCAATTGAGCTAGATTAAACAACTTTTTCTCGTAAATTCATATACAATACTATAAATCTCCGTCACGCGGAAAAGCTGTAAACTTTTTTAAATCTGTAGAAATCATTGACTAGAATTTGATTTTTTTTGTAAGCATTTATAAAGGAATTTTCTAGAATATAATGTACAGGTGTTTGAAATTCATCGGTTAAGACACATTGATATAAGTCATTGTGCAAAAGTTGGAGAAGCTATGTTCAAGAGTTAAGGAGATATTAATTTATTGATAATAAGTTGCGCCACGAATTTTTACCGCGCACTATATAGAATTTCTCGAGGGCCGCTGGAGGTAGAGTCAGGGTGGGCCTTGGATGCCCCAAGTATTCACACTTTTACTGAAAGTTCTACTAAGAGTTCACGGGACTTGCTACACAACTCATCATCATCATCATCATCCAGTGCCAGATCTGCGACAGACATCGACGATCATGGTTCTCAATTCATCCTTTTGCTCGGATGCTCTCAAAAAAAGCTACGTTTCCCTGATCTTTTCCTGTTACCCATTTGTTTAGGTTTCCTAAGTATGTTGTTCTGGGCCTACCCCTGCCTCGCTTGCCCTCAATTTTGCGACTCAACTACGTTAGATATAACAGTGCGTTTAAAAAATCATGACGCAATTCATCTTCCACTATTGCTTTAACGGGTGAACCAAAGTCACCCATACTTCGCACAGCAGTTTGTATCAATAATATTTTTCCACAACAATTGAGGCAAGACTGAAATATATTTCTCCATAACTTTATACAGCATGGCGTCCGTGGCCTAGTGGTTAGGCTCTCGGACTCGCAACCGTAAGGTCGTGGGTTTGAATCCCGTCAGGGGCCCGACGTTGTGTCCTTGGGAAAGGCACTTTACACATATTTTCCTCACTTCACCCAGGTGGGAATGGGTACCCGGCTACATACAGTGAACGATCTTGTCAGTTTGTTAGTGTTTGAGCACATAATCATGCGCTATACAAATACTATTTATTATTATTATTATCATTATTATTATTATTATTACATAGAATACTACATATTTCTGTCACGCGGGAAATGGGATTGTTCACAGCACTTCCAGGTTCTCAGCCAGATTTTGCATACGCACATGGCCTACGTCAGAGCTAACTAATGACACTTTTTTGTTGCTAAACATATTTTAAAAATTGATTTCATAATGAAAATGAACACCTTTTCGCACTAAAAGTTCTCAAATCATGCGCTCAAAAAGCAGAATGTCACGATTAGAACAAAAATGATGGACTTCCTTTCAAAAGCCATTGCTGTCCCAGCTGTTCACACCTTTTAAACTCTGTAGAAACCAACAACTGGAATCTTTTAACAAGTATTTATTAGGAATTTTCTAGAACAAAGCTAACAGCTGGGGTCAAAAAGTATCAATACGTTAAGACAGATTGATAAAAGTCGATGTCCAAAAGCTGGAAAATTTATGTTCGATAGTTTTGGAAATATTTGACAGTAAGTTGCGCTACGAATTTTAGACCGCACTATAGAGAATAATATTTAAAGAAAATAAGGAGAAGAGATAGGGGCGATAGACGGTGGACAGAAGAAGCACACCACACCAGATCACCCACCAATCAACCGTGGTTTTTAGCAGTAACCAAGCACTGTATTGATTGTATTGCACCATATTTATGGTTTACTCTCCCGTCAACACAATTTATTATTTTAATAGTCAGGCTACTTTGTCTCTTTCTATCTGGGCAAACCTTTGGTGAGTGGGATACAACATCTCAGCAAACAGACCGCCTGGGATGCTCGACACCTTAACTCATAGAGGTCACGCTTATTCGACAAACCGTAAAGATGCGCTGTTCTGGGGCATGATTTTCCTTTTTTCAAAGGGATCTTTCGTTTATGTTTTCCCTATCTGAAACTTCAAAAAGTATGCAACAATATGTGAGGCAGCGTGGTGAAATTAGGCCCTCGTCAAAACAGTCAAAGTGAAGAAACTGGCTTTTTTTCGCAGGTTTGTGAATTTTTATCGAATTTTCGTTTCTTGACTCAGCACTTTTCATGTCCATTAAAGAACACCTTTCAGTGAGGATTTCACTGAAAAACAATTATTAAAGGCAGAACAATGTAAATGTTTCAGTTTCCACGGACTCTCAAGTTAAGGAAAAAACTCGTCTTTGGCGACCATTTTCTCACTAACTTTATCACTAAAACCAGGCGATCCCCAACCCCTATAATCGCAAATATCTCAACTTCTACTCGTGATAAATGGGTGGGGGGTTTTCATGAAAAGCAAGACAAATGACACGCTTTAAATTATACTAATAATTCTACATTCCCCAATATTGACGAGCGCCTGATTCCATAGCGTCGTGACACATTAGGTATGTAATGAAAAGAATACAAATTCATGTATCTAATAATATGTGTATGTGCGGTAGTTCCAAATGTGGCTGAATATTCACTTTGCTGTGATGCTGATCGGACGTATATGTCCGTTACGTCCTCAAGCAGTTTTTCAAAAGTGGGAAAAAAGGACCAAATTATCTATATTACGTCTGTTTACAATTAGAGTAATTGCAGTTGAGGGAATACTCTACTGGCTTAAGTTCTGTCTTCCAGGAGAGAGGGAGTGATATTACAGAGTGTAAGATTAAGAGACTGTGAAAAGATAGGGAATTAAGAATGTTGTAATCGAGGTCGATCTTGTCTTTCAGAGGCAACTCACCGTCTGAGTAGGGTATAGTACAGTACCCGAGGAGACAGATAGAGATGTTCGATTAATTTTAAAAAAGAAGTACAGGGTGATCGTTAAAAAACTATACTACTTTTTTTGTTAATATTTTCCTCCACTGAAGTTTTGCTGTTTAAATTTGTACACAACATTTGGAAGTCAAAAGGAATTTGTCTGAGATTCGTTTTAGATAAATCCACAGAATAGTTTTGCTCTACATAGCGCGTAAAAAAGTAGCCTTTTTCAGCTGTCCCCATTTTTGTAGCACGACGCACTAGTTGGCATTAGACTACCACTAAAAAATCACAACGATTGCGCAATATTCCAAGCTACAGTTGTGTAACAGGCCAACAGTAGTTTGCAGATAGTTTTCTAAAGTTTCCTTTGCCTGCTGGGGTCATGGTTAAGTTTAGAAAAGAGCAGACAGCTTTTTGTATAGAAACTTTTCTTCACCACCAACTCATTTCGTAAGTTTCGCACAAGGTCCGGAAATGATGTTAAAGTGCCTTTATGTCAAGGGTGGAAATAGTCCATCAGTTAGGACCTGTAGAGAATCAGAACTAAACATTCCCAGACAAAACGACTATTTCAGGTCAATCACACACCGTTGGCACCCATTTAAATGTCATCAGGGTGCAGAATTCAGTAGATGAGCCCCATGAGACGTCTCTCCGTAGACAATGCCAGCAGCAATGACTTTCCTATATTTCAACGGTCTGCATTCTCAAGGCAAATCTTCATCTACGACTGTACCATTTTTCTTTTCGCGAAGCTATCAGAGTACAGCAATGTGTTCATGATTTCTCGACCGTCTTGAAAAGCGTGAACATTTCCTCTATGACATTTGGTACCTTGGCAAAACCCATAATCACCTTTCAGGTTATATCAACTCCACAAATTTTAATGCTGTCTATTTGGGCAACTTCATCCCCCCCCGTGTTGTCTCTAAAAACAGCTCCATACTGTAAGGTGTACTGTAACAGTGTGTGTGACTTTGATTTCTCCTGGTTGAGTGGGTCCTTGTGTTTAGCCACCACTGAACATTACGAACGACGTGTTAAAATGTGCCGAGTCTAAAAGGAGGACATACAGACCATTGATTCTCGGAATTCCAGAATTCCAAAAAAAAATATTTTGTTAAACTCCATAGAAGAAAAGAAATATTGTTTAAAGGTTACAGGGATAGAAAAATTAAAATTTTAAAATACAAAGAAAGGAAAAAACAAAACCAATCATTTCATAACTTCACTTACAAGATCGTTTAAATTGGTACATTTTGCATATTATTATATAGGTGGTTTTTATAAAAAGCCGTTTTCGTTTTCGAAAATAAGTTTCTTCTTTGTGAATTGTATGTACAAAAAATTCCTTATGAATGAATTAATTATACATGTTCCAAATTACAAAATTCTAGTAAAAATATTTTGTGCGAAATATTTTGAAACAAAAGTTGTACAGTTCTGTTGCTGGGTTTTTGTTTTTGTTTGTTTGTTTGTTTGTTTGTTTTTTTTTTTTATCAGCCT